GGAGGTGGCACCGGCTCTGGTTTCACCTCTCTGCTGATGGAGCGTCTGTCTGTCGACTACGGCAAGAAGTCCAAGCTGGAGTTCTCCATCTACCCAGCTCCCCAGGTGTCCACTGCTGTGGTAGAGCCGTACAACGCCATCCTGACCACCCACACCACCCTGGAGCATTCCGACTGTGCCTTCATGGTAGATAACGAGGCCATCTACGATATCTGCCGTAGAAACCTCGATATCGAGCGTCCCTCTTACACCAACCTGAACAGGTTGATCAGTCAGATTGTGTCCTCCATCACTGCTTCCCTTCGTTTTGATGGCGCCCTCAATGTTGATCTGACCGAGTTCCAGACCAACTTGGTGCCATATCCCCGTATCCACTTCCCTCTGGCCACCTATGCCCCCGTAATCTCTGCTGAGAAAGCTTACCATGAGCAGTTAACGGTATCCGAAATCACCAACTCCTGCTTTGAACCAGCCAATCAGATGGTAAAATGTGACCCTCGCCACGGCAAATACATGGCTTGTTGCCTTTTGTATCGTGGTGATGTGGTGCCCAAAGATGTTAATGCTGCCATTGCCACCATCAAAACCAAGCGCTCCATCCAGTTTGTGGACTGGTGCCCCACTGGTTTCAAGGTTGGCATCAACTACCAGCCCCCCACTGTGGTTCCTGGTGGAGACCTGGCCAAGGTCCAGAGGGCCGTGTGCATGCTGAGCAACACCACTGCTATTGCAGAGGCCTGGGCTCGACTTGACCACAAGTTTGACCTGATGTACGCTAAGCGTGCCTTTGTTCACTGGTATGTGGGAGAGGGTATGGAGGAGGGAGAGTTCTCTGAGGCCAGAGAGGACATGGCAGCTCTGGAGAAGGATTACGAGGAGGTTGGAGCCGACAGTGTGAGGGATGAGGATGATGTAGAGGAGTATTAAACTAAAGTGTTTTCAATAACTTCAAAAATAAAGTTCATTTATTGACCACCTTTGTTGTCTTTTAATACACATTCCAAAGGGCAGAAGTACTGTCGGACAGTTTTAATGGAGCAGAGCAGATTGTTTTTCTGTGTCTGTAGTTGTCACTATTGCTAAATGCATGATGCCATATTGGGCAGTCTCAAACTGGTTTGTACAGTTTTAGGGGAACAGTTTCTCTGCTCCAGACATGTGACTCAAGTCATTTAGTGAAAGTCTCAAGCCAGTCCCAAGATTCTGCTGTAGCCAGTCTTTATACAGAGAAAAGACTAATGGTCAAATTATCTAACCTGTTCTTCTCAATCAAAAACAATTTCCATCAAATTAACCTGCACATTTATTTCTTGACTTTTCTTATTTCATTTCTTTATTGACCTATTATGATGCTGGCTTTAGTCCTCCATACTTAAGTACAGTACTTCAGTATATGTACTTGGTTACTCTTCACCCCTGCTGAGTAGTTTTTCCACCACTGTTGGATAAAATGGACAAATAACTTTTAATCAACACAAGAAACCGAGACTCTGAAATACCTATATTTAGTAGACTGTCAAGATACTGATGCATAAATGGCAAAACCAAAAAGAGCAATTTTCACTTCTGGTCCAAAATGTACACGCCTGATTACCTAATTTTCCCAATAGCGTATGATTGCTGCGTGTATTACACAGAAGGCAACCTCCGGTCTTGCCCCGTGAAGCTGATGCGGAAGTGTCTTAAAACTTAAATTCTCCCTACTGATCAGCAGGGGGCGACTCTTCTGGAAGCAAACATAATTCTGTATGGAAGTCTGAGAATGTCCCCACTTCTCACTTTATTACCTTGGTAAACCATTAAAACATGAGTTTGTCGTCTCAGTCGCTAGTTTCAAGTCTCCAATGAAACATGTTCATTGAGCGAATTATGGTCACATTTGGAGTAAAATAGACTATAAAGCGGAGTATGTTTTTAGGGCGGGCTTACTGTGACTGACAGGTCGCTGCTGCTACCAGAGCCGTATCCAAAGTCACAAGTCACTAACACGTATTCTAAATATGGTAATTTCTTTAGTAAAGGTCATTAGGTACCCTTTAAGAGTATTGAGACCCTAAACCAAGGTGATGGCTTGATCCTCATCCGTAAATAGTTGAGTCTCAAGGTTTGTTAGATATGTTAATGCAGAATGTGAGACTGGACGGTGAATTAGTAGGAAATTAGTAACTTCCGTTCGTCGGATGCAGAAAAGCCAAGATGGCGACGTCCATATTTCAAGATGGCGACGGCGATATCACCGAACTCGAGGCTTCATAACAGCAGTCCATAAAGGAATGAGTGACATCACGATGACTACGTCCACTTGTTATATATGGTCTATGGTGACGAACACCGACTGCTTTGATTGGCTCGTGGGGTACGGGAACGCCCACTTTTTTTCCCTTCTATTTCACAATAAACAGCTTCTTCTTCTTGAGTTGAATTTGAGGCAGACTAGAACAGTTCCTTCGTAGATCTCCATTGTGTGACTTATGTCCTTATATAGAGTGCAGTACGATGGAGAGAGTTGATTAAAGATGCTGTTCTTCCACAATTCCCCAGTGAGAATTGACTACCACGAATAATCTGTTAGTTGTGGTACCTACGGCAGGAGAGCAGATGGAAGCGCCAATGAAATATCCAGAGGGGGGAGGCAGAACGCAGGGTGCGCTAGCTAGCTAATGCTAACACCTGTCTCATTTGTGGTCTTATAAATAGTTCATCAGTACATCCATGAAACGTACATTCTCCATCGGGAAGACACACAAAATGAAAGCGGACAACAAACCAGGATGAGCTTTATTCATATGGTATGACTTATCAATGGGTATCTAATGTAGGCTATGTGAGGACCAATACATTTTTAGCATCAATAGCTGTTGATTCATTGCTGGAAGCTTGTTAAGCTAGGCACGCTAGCCGGCTTTGTTTAAATCGAGTTGGTACAAATTACCCATCTGAATGTAACACTAAGCATTTATTTAGCTTAGTTTGCCCCACTTGTTTAATCAAAGTCACACATACTGGAAAAAATGATTAAAGAAATAGACCAAAAGTGACTTAAATCATGCGTAAAACGGATCTAATGCCACCAATTTGATTGACAGGAAGGAGACAATGAAGTTACTGGGCAAGAAAGCCAGTAGGCGTTCCTGTTCTACGTTAACCAATCATATACTAGGGCATTGCAGCTCCTGCGGCTGCAGTCCATTGTGCAAGTTTACTGCGTAGCCTGTGCCGCATATGAATGTTCAATTTAACCAATAGGAGACGGGACCATGTCACTCCTGACCAATCGGATTCATCAGCATGTTTCCGCCGGGTAAGAGAGTATAAATAGCCCCACCTAGAATAAAAAAACGTCAGTTGCTTCTCACACTGGACACATAACGCCCTTGCTGTGAGAGCTAACGTTGCCTTTGTCCTCTTCTAAATCAAATTTTATACAGAATCACGAAAACATGGTGAGTATGAAAGTATTGTGTATCGTGTATTATCGTGTATTCATTTGTACCGAATTCCACGCTCTGGAAGTATCATTCATCACGTGCCAACCTACCTTAACCGCCGTCATCAATTTTAAAGAAGTAACTGAAATGTAATGTGTAGAGCGGTCATTTTAACGGTGATGTTGGTACATTTGGTGTAACTCGAGAGGGCACAGCCCATATTAAAATTCCGCCTATTTCCGGTTTTCATGTCTGCACGTTGACCCAGTTAGTGCAGGTCATCGTGTGTTCAGCCTGAAACATTCCTCATTTTAACGGCCAGTTTGAAGAGGCCTTTTATTAAACTGCGACCACAGGCTTTTCAGACAAAATCTATTCACTCAAAGACTTTCATATTTTACCTTAGATGTCCGAACTACTTTTGTATGAATATCTGTACCTACAGCTGTGTTTGACAAGGTTCACCACAGACTGATCATGGGGAAAATGTTCTTTCTTTAAGTACTCATGTCGGAAAAAGTCTTTCTGTTCAGAGGGCCAGTGTCTGTGTGTCAGGTTACTGTAGTCATGAGAGCCTGGTATCTGGTTCTTTACAGAAGAGCTGCTTTACCCTCTTCATGTGAGAGCAGTCCTTGACATGTGATGAGTAGCCTTAAGTATCTAATTGGTTAAAATTAGCACAAGAACCAGCCAGGCATGCCCTTTAAAAAAATGATTGTAGTTACTTTACTTTTTTTTAATTTTTAATTTTTTAATTTTATTTTTTTTTAATTTTTTTTTTTCTTATCCCCGTCTTTCCACAGCGTGAGTGTATCTCCATCCACGTTGGTCAAGCTGGTGTCCAAATTGGAAATGCCTGCTGGGAGCTTTACTGTCTGGAGCATGGCATCCAGCCGGACGGACAGATGCCCAGTGGAAAGACCATCGGAGGAGGAGACGATTCTTTCAACACCTTCTTCAGTGAGACTGGAGCTGGAAAACACGTCCCCAGAGCTGTTTTTGTTGACCTGGAGCCCACCGTCATTGGTAAGTGTCATCACTTCTGGCTGAACATTCATTTTGGAAAATGTAAATAGTAGCTGTAACTGATTTTATTATTTTTGTCTCTTCAGATGAGGTGCGCAGTGGGATTTACCGCCAGCTGTTCCACCCTGAACAGCTGATCACTGGTAAGGAGGATGCTGCTAACAACTACGCCCGTGGACACTACACCATCGGCAAAGAGATCATCGACATAGTGCT